ATTTTATCCGACAATGAAATTACTCATAATGCACATAAAATTGTTCATGTTAAGCTTCTAATCACACAGTATACATTACTCAAAACAGCATGGGGGTCTCACATGTCACACATATATATTGTTACGTCTCCGTGTGTTAATTAATTTTCCGTAACTTCGTTCCGACGAAACTTAAGCGACACAAGTCTTTACTTAATAAAACTGATTTATTCTTTCCGAATATAACTTTACCGATACACTCAACTTCAACAATCGCGTTAAAACAAACGCTAATCAACGAACGTCAACAATACTTCCGACTGCAGTTCAGTTACTCACTATCTTTACACCACCCATTACATTACCTTCCCCTCTTTTATATACCAGCCTACCCTATATCTAGTAAGAACTAGAACATTCCCCAAAGTACATGATAGTTCTAGAAACGTTGCGTCACAGTAGTCATGTGACTCGATGACGCAACACATACCAAAACACGGGACTTCAAAACAGAAATTGAATTAAAAAATTACGAACACAACTAATTAAAGATTAGAAGGGGGGGGGGTCTTGCTTACGATGTTTCACAGTAGACTGTACAGTTATATCCGCGTGAGGAAGGTTTGTGGTGAATGATATAAGACTACATTCTGCAATCAGGTGATTGGTTGTGGATTCATTAAAGCTCCTCCTATATTTCCTATCTTCCAATCGTTAGTCAATAAAGTACGTGTTTCTACTGTTTTTCGGGTCTTTATAACCTACAGCTGTAACCACAATAAAGTTGTGACACGATCTATTACTTTCTGTGATTTGTGTCTTCTGGCTGGGATAATTCTCTGGCTTGGAGGTGTTTTCATGAACTACGTCTAACGTTTACAACATGACGAAAGCCACGCTAGAAGTCCCGACTATAGACCGTCACGACTTTAAGAACAAATCCATCGACGAGATGAGCCATTTGTTATATAAGCTTATAGAATTAGTACCCAATATGCCAAAAAACAGGAGGCTTTCTAAGCTTGAGATAATTCAATACGTTATAGACTATATTCTAGATTTACAGCTCGCCCTGGAAGCCCATCCGACTTTCAGGGCTGCGAGACCGTGTAGTACCCCTGAGCGACAGCCGCTAGTAGCCCTATCTCCTTCCAGTAACGCCAGAGTTAATCTTCCTGCTGTGCATGAGGTAAGTCACGTGTGCTCTGTCTCAAAGCTTGAACGATTTTATTTCACAGATTCTGCGGAATTTTGGTGTATAATGTTAACTTTTGATCCAGTGAAGTTATCTACAAACATCAACCCAGTAGTAAAAACAGCTAACTAAATATACTGTTCTTATGTGCTAACATACATTGATTAGAATGCACCTTTTCATCTGTTCCGTTCCTCACTGTTAGCGATATTTACGGTTGTAACCCAATAATATCTCGCGAGTTTGGCAGCTTAGAAGATGCATGCTATTTCTAAATTCAGATTTAGTTGTAATACATATTACACATGATTTATAACACTGTATATTAGAGGGCTTATGTCTAACACATGTCACGTGACTCAATGGCCTGTGTAGAGCGTAACATATATCACGTGATTTAAAGTTCTGTGTTCAGAGCAAAGTGTGTAATATGTATCACGTTATTTAAAGTGTTCTGTGTTCAGAGCAAAGTGTGTAATATGTATCACGTTATTTAAAGTGTTCTGTGTTCAGAGGAAAGTGTGTAATGTGTATCACGTTATTTAAAGTGTTCTGTGTTCAGAGGAAAGTGTGTAATGTGTATCACGTTATTTAAAGTGTTCTGTATTCAGAGGAAATTGTGTAATGTGTATCACGTTATTTAAAGTGTTCTGTGTTCAGAGGAAAGTGTGTAATGTGTATCACGTGATTTAAAGTGGTATGTTTTAGAGTAAATTGCCTTTTTTGTTGAGAGTATGTTTTCAGATTAGACAAAAATTGACGTAGATCTGGTTTAATATATTTTCCCAGGAAACTCATAATGAAAAAATTTCAAGTTACTTACGCGACCTGGAGGTTGGATTAGCAAAGCCAGTTTCCTGCTAGACAAATGCAGTATGTATTGATAGCCTGAAATCAAGAAAGAGACACTTCCAAGGAGTGTATTAGATATAACACTAGTCCAAGAGGCTGAAAAGTCAGGGAAGTATGTGACGTCAGCCAAGAATCGGTATTTATGTTCACGGACAATGTACTCTCAGTAGAAGGATCATCAGTGGCTGGAGGAACTAAGTCCAGAACTGTAGAAATGTCTTTAGTTTCTTAGTATGTTGAAAGTCACATATTCTCTTTCTACTTTCAAAGATTTGATTGTGATGGCAGTCTTTTATCTATTGGTACAGGTAGGCCGTTTAAGAATACATGAAAATTTTCTATCTCTGTGATTTGACTCTACTGTACAAACTTCTCTATATCAATTTGTGTAAATTTTGTATGTTCGTTGAATATGCGGAAACTCTTTTAATATTTGTACAAATGATCACGTGATAGTTATTAATATCCGGAACACTGTGAAATTGAAATGTATATACTTAAAATTGGCTCATTTTTTGATATAAGAAAAAGATTAAAAAAAACATGTTCCAAACTGAAAACCTGTGTTGCCTGAATATTTCCTTAAGACAAAATAAAGATCAGAATTAAAATAAGTAAATTAATCATCTATGTTTTTAACAAATCATTGATATTATGTGTCACATGCTTCCTGTAGATGTATAACCATTAACCGGGTTTGACCCTCAAATTACTCATTTGTTTTTATACCCTTCACTGTTATGTTTTTTTTTTTTTCTGTTATCACAATATAATCAGTGTTAAAAACTGACAAAACTAACTGGATGAAATCCCATTTTCTGTGTAAAATATGTAAAGGATCCCAGCATTAATTAGTTGGGGTATTGAAGGTAATTTGATAATTCATTTGGTTCATAAATAGTTTACAAAATTTTGTTTAAAAGTCCACAGATGTCTGTTTGTATCCCGTCTATAATTATATAACAAGGAAATTTGTTACAGCTTGAGTTCGGACAATGATACTTGAGGTCAACCACTTGACCTCAAGTTCATGTGGTAGAAATATTTATAGTTCAGGTCAACTACTTGACCTCAAGTTCATGTGGTAGAAATATTTATAGTTCAGGTCAAACAATTGACCTCAAGTTCATGTGGTAGAAATATTTATAGTTCAGGTCAACTACTTGACCTCAAGTTCATGTGGTAGAAATATTTATAGTTCAGGTCAAACACTTGACCTCAAGTTCATGTGGTAGAAATATTTATAGTTCAGGTCAACAACTTGACCACAAGTTCATATGGTAGAAACATTTATTGTTCAGGTCAACTACTTGACCTCAAGTTCATGTGGTAGAAATATTTATAGTT